CATTGTTGAAGGCCGTACGGTGACCTATAGTTGTTAATTTCCGTGTCATTTGGTCTCTGGTGTAGAGTTGTCTCATGGGCAATCATACCACATCTTCTTATTTTTATATGATACTGGTGTGTCACAATTCGGATCTTCTCTCAGTGAATACTGTGATAACGTGGTCAGGATCTACAAATGCATTTGTCTTAACACATTAAGGCGTAAGATTGGCGAAAATAGTAATGCAAAATAAGTCATAAATATTAAAAAGAGACTTTTTAAATAGAAGTGGAACATATACTGAATTATTGATGTTCCTTCAAATTCCTGCATTCCTTATAAAAATAGTATTTTTCTTTTTCTTTTTTTTTTCTTCTGAAACTTGTGGACTTTTTGTCTATCTGAGACTCGCATCGAATGAAACTTACACTTATTTTTCAATTCCGTGCGTCCAGATCGTTTTTCTGGTTTTATCTTCACCTGGAACACTCAAACATAAAAATTTAAAAGCCAGGGATGTATAGATACATAAACACTTAACGAGCTATTTGACCAAAAGGGACATACATAGAATAGCTAATTTCATCTTTGGTGAACTTTGCACTAGTCATATCTTATTTTCTGTAATTTTTGTTCACATTTATTATTGGACATTTTGTGTTGATGGAATATAGTCTCTGTCACAATTGCTCCTTACTTTTATGTTTAGGTGTTTTATTTGTGTTGTGCTGTTGGGTTGCAGTTTCATTAATGTATACCGATCATCTCCTATCTTTATTTTAAATGCATTTATTCCTGTATATCCTATGAGAAATCTACATCTGCGTTGCCCGACAGAAATCTCGGTGAATAATTGTTACAACGTGTTGATGTTCGTGTGGGTTCCATTAAGTTTTTTTTTTAATTGGAAGGAGTTGCCTACTCAGGCTAAATTTCGACCGCTTACAACCGTGACTACAGAACGAATGGCCTGAAGTTAATCTTAAAAGATCCCAAACCGACCGAGAGCATCTCAAGGGTCGTGAATTCCAACAAAGAAGTTTATTTGAAAGTAAGACAATTTTTGATGGCAGCTATAGAGGGGGTGGTGAAGTCTGAAACGTGATCGACCCAAGACGGTCTCGACAAACACTTGGCTGCTACCTGCCAACGCTTTTCTATTATGTGAAATATGTTATCACTTTTTCTGCACTCATTTAATTTCAATCAAAGTAGACTATACATATACTAGTAGCTAAATATACGTCTTTTGTAACGTAAAAACTGCAGAAATTTGTTAAGCATGTAATATCCGTGAAATGGTGTTTTCTAAACAAAAACAAATTTTGAATATAACTTCTATACCCAACATATCGATATTGGTGTCAACATTAAATTTTAGTACAATTTTCCCTTCAGAAACACGTATTTTGTTTCATATATTACAAAATTGTCGAAATATAACCTCAATGGAATGTAATCTCCGTTGACGCTTTTGTTAAGACTGCTTTCTTTCACGTCTGCATTTCTATCAAATATGGCATGCCTAGTTAACATTTTAGGCAATTATTACGGATGGCGAAAATAAACACCCTTTTTGAACCGTTGCTAGGCAACATTTCAGTTGCTATGTTGTTTGTAAGCATATTGTAAATGAAATCAAAGGGACTATTCATTTGTGACTTCAAGTTCTTTTTAAATAAATAATATCATTTGGGATTGATCTAATTTGTACTGATTAATCAATTAACATGTAATAATTTTGATATTTAAGAAAAACCGTTGCTAGACAACCTTCCTTTCACCGGAACACAATAAAATCATTGTTTTTTCAAGTTTCTATACTAAGACCATCAATGATATTAATATAAACTTATTTGGAGAGGGGGCCAAAAACGCCCCTTATCGTACCTTGGCCTTTGAAAGCCAAGGACGTTAAAGAATCGAAACAGTTGAAGAGTTATATTGTATGACCTAAAAGGATCTAAAAAATATGATAGCCCTATCCATCTACAGTCAACTTTGCCTGGTACCGGAATCGGTCAAGGTTGACCGAAAAATAATTCCTTACAATATTTTGCGTGTTTTTTTTTTTTATTCATAGAAATTTATATTTCATAAATAAACATATAGAGAATATCATATGGCCTTTTCAGTATCACATTTTATTAAACCCATACACCAATATAATCCTGCGAGCTCTGCCCGAGTGTTTATATTGATAAATGGTTGATACGGTGTGCGATATTGAAAAGGCCATTGATGGCTGATACAGCATTATTGCCACTAATTCATTAATTGTTTAATTGTACATGTATTGCACATAAAATGTACTAATTTTTATTATTTTTTCGTTAAATAATCAAGAATTCTCTAAATATACTGCCGAAATTTATCTAAAGGAACTTACTTTAAATAAATCAGATATGAACAGCAATAACTATCCTTTCCTATAGAATTAGATATTTAAGTTTTACGCGAGAAACGCTACATAAAAAATTACGACAAAAAGGGACGTTACCGATATATTTAAAAATGGAATTTTGAACTATTTTATCGTAAGGAAGAAGAGAAAATTATTATATTTTTGAATATCTACAAACGTTCACATCATAAAATTTTGGACAATATCAAGCATACATGAATTTAAGGTATTATTATATAAAGTAAAATATATTTATTGAAATTTTAGATTCATCGACAATAGAATAGTATTATAAATAAAAATCATTAGTATACTCTTTTGTGCGCTCTAGAAAAAATATCTCAATATACCTGGTTGATTGCATAAAGTCAGACAGGAGTAAACGTAAAAATATATGTAAATGCTTGGTATTATAACACACATATTTAGATTTTAGAATGTTATCTAATCGTCTATGTTTTTCGTTTCATGAAATTACACGTTTTTTTTTTGCGTAATAGGAAGTCATGTTTGATATAAAGTGGTTAGCTTTTAGGAAAAATCACTTCTAGTTTGAATCAGAACAAGCAAGTCAGGTAATTTGAAATCCTCTTATCATTTCTTCACCTTATACTAAATTTTTTTGTTTATAATCTTGTAATTGCAGATGATAGTATTCGCTTCATAAAACAGCAATTATAATCTTGTTGCAGAAGATAGACTATAAGTATTCGCTTCATAAAACAGGCTGTTCCCATATGTATAATCGTTTCTGGTGGTTAAATTCATTTTCGGAAGTTCTCCAAACAATGAAAGTGTCATTAAAAAAACCAATAATGTAATAATTAAAAAATCCATTTGTTCGCTTACCTGACATAACTTTTTTTTTAGGAAACCCATCTTCGCCAAAATTTTAAAATTTACGATAAATTATTTTAATTATAATAAATGAAACCAAACTTACTTATAGATTTATCACAATATGATATAAACAGGGTATGTCTACCAAGTATTTCTATTTTGAAATAGATATGGAATTGTATTTGTAAAATTTGAAGAAAAAAAAATATTTTGACTGTTGCAATGTTTTTTGTCTGTGAGATTGTCGACAGCTCTTTTACTGTATTAAATCATCCATGTAAAATATATTTGCATCTTTATTGAAATAGTTTAATTAATCACCAAAAATATACCGATTTCAGCCCCTCTTACGGCTTTTTGTAGAATCAATACTCACTTGTCACGGACATTTCAGTATAACTAACGATTGAATCGTAAGATTTTTGAAAAATGAGCCATGCACTGGTTCCATAGAGTTTTTTTATTTTTTTTCATCTTTTAATATTTCCATACTCAACTGTTGAAAACTGTAAAGAATTACAAGAAAAAAAACAACTTTATGAATTCGTTACGTCCGAAGGTTTTTTTTTTTTTTTTTTTGGGGGGGGGGGGGGAGGGGGGGTTAACCTTATCTGGGACGATCATGCCCCAAAAAAGCTTATTAACTCGTTAAGAACTACAATGTATTGTGTATTAAATATTTTAAGTTAGATTTATTCTTAATGCATCTAATCTATAAAAATAGTTCAAGAAAATGCATTAATTCATACCGAAAAGCTGCTTGAAACTTAACTTATTGAAAGTTTCGAACTTTATCTGGTAAAATATGTACGTGTTCTCATGTACGTTGAAAAAGCATTTAAATGTAAATCAACAGGACTGGGTTGCTCAAAACTATGGCTAAATTTAAATGCAATGACAAATATATATACCATTTGATTTTGATTTTGATTTTTTGTGTTTTAACGCCCCTTTTTAGCACCGCCTGTGGGCTATTTCGTGGCGGCCAGTTTTTATTAGTGGAGGAAGCCGGAGTGCCCGGAGAAAACCATCGACCTACGATAGGAAAACTTACAATCCTAGTCAATTAAGATTGGAGTCGAGTGCACCCGCAAGAGCGGGGTTCGAACTCACAACTTCAGTGTTGACTGGCTAGTGATTACAGTAGCAACTACTTAGACCACTCGGCCACCGAGGCCCCCCATATATATACCATCTATCGGTATACTGCAGATGCAACAAATAACACGGCTCAAAATCAGTGTATATGATTGCAAAATCCTGGCAATAGAATCTGATGTAGACAATAGCAAAAACATTTTTTAATGGGAATTGGGAACACAGATCAAATTGTGTCTGCCGTAAGGATTGCCGATTATTTGTTGTGTACATTACTTAATTGAATTTACATTAAGGTGGTACCTAACACTACAGGGAGATAACTCTGTAAAAATCAGCTAAACGTTTTAATTACGTTGTATTGTTAAGGAAATATTAAGCTTCTCAATGATCAAAATTAGTGTTTGTCAAACTGCTATATAACCAACGAAATTTTTCTGATAAAGTGGTTGGTTCAAATTTTTTGAAATTTTTATATTTTTGTCAAAGGGTCAAAGTAAACATTTTGTCAAAATTTTATGAAAATTAAACAAGCCAAATTAATATTAGTCAAGGTGTTGGGTACCACCTTAATTAAGCGCCAAACGTTATTTATACATTCTTCAATATTATTTTCGTCTTTAGAATGATGAAATTCGCCATTGCTACCGTAGCCATCTTGGTCTGCCTTTGTGGCATGAAGGGCATTTACGCTGATGATTATTATGGCGGAAGTTATGCCGGGGGAATAGGTGTACAAGGATACGGTTCTAGCTACGGAAAAGGCGGATATGGCTCAAGTTATGGTGGATATGATGGCAATATGGGCGGATATGGCAGCAGTTTGGGTGGATATGGCGGCAGTTTGGGTGGATATGGCGGTAGTATGGGTGGATATGGCGGATATTCCGGATATGGAAAGGGACATGACGGATATTCTAGTTACGAAAAGAAAACAGTCCATGGATACGGCAAAAAAGGAGGTTACATCGATGAAACAATCCACCTTCAACCACAACAAGTACCAATGTCAGTTGCAGGTCCATATGCAGGAGGTATTTCATCATACGGTGGCAATGAGCGCGGTATGCTCGGTGGTATATTCGGTGGTGGTGAAACAACAATGATCTGTAAGTTTATTCTTTAATTATAATGATATAAGAGGGGTGGTAGGAGGGTATGTCATCGCGAAATCTCGAAAAAATAAAGTATTCTTTCTTGGATCCCGAAAAATAAATCATTAATTCCCAAGTCCCGATAGGTGTAAATCTCGAATCCGCGAAATAAAGGTCCGATCCCAAATTACCGCAAAAATATGGGCCTAATTCCGACGTCCCGAAAAAGGTCCTTCTGCCCCTCATATAACGGTTGTTGATGTAAGTACATAACTGAGAAGCACTTCTGCTTTTCAAATAAGAAGTGTTAACATCAAAGAATATTTCCATTGGACTCAAACAGAATAACTTTTTAAGAAATATTATCAACTCATTTTTTCATTTTTTGTTTTACATTAAATATTCAAAGATATTTTGTTTTGTTTACCTATTGGTTCCCAGATATGATATGTATGCTTCATCTCGTATAGACACAACTGGAAAATGTTACCAGTATAAATACTCATGAATAGCGGCCAAATTGAATTCTGAGGAAGACCCAAAGTGAAGGGAGGGTAGTACATAATTTTAGTATAAGTTTTAATTCTTTGAAGTTCGAGGCATATAAATGTTGAAAATAAGCCGCACGGCCCTATGTTTTGAGTTTTGAAAAAAATAGAAGTGCATATACACTTTCAATCCTAGGATATAATTTTTTACGAAACTTCATAGTAAATGTGGCACAGTTTTAGACGCAAAAGAACTTTCTATGGGAAATTGCATTGTCTATTTTTACAGAAGTGCAACCTTTAATATGTACTTAATATAACCAAATACTACATGGGTCATGTTGCCATGGAGCTATTAAATTTTAGCAACAACAGGCAATCGTGACGTATATATTTTCATTTTCATGCGATTTTTGTTTAAATAACTAGAACACACCCGCGACTGAATAAAGCACCTTCGCCTTATTTTCAGCCTGGATTTTTAGTATGCGTATTGGCATTTGATTAAGTCATGCTGATTATAATGTGCACAGTTTTCTTTGCTTTCAAAATCTTTCTGTTTGAGTCCGTTCTGGTTTTCTTACTACAACCGGAAACTACTTTTGTAGATTTATTTTTTTGGCCAATGATTGAATTTAGTAGTGTCAATCCCTGCATAATGACGAATTCCATGTGTGATTATGACCCGTGTATATAGCAAATCCCAAATACACCATTTGGTGGTGCGCTTGACAGAGGCTCAACGTACAGAATAGGTAACTGATAACAGGTACTATTGGTATCGTGATCGGATTCGATCCGGAACTTATTAATTATTGGTAATATCAATTATGTGGAAAGCAAAAGGGATTGGAATGGTGTAATTTTTAATCAACATCATTGTCCTATATTAGTTATATATAAAGTTGAATTCTTTGATTCGTCGTTTTTACGTCATGCCGGCTAACAAATTGAACCTCGTTATTTTGATGGTTGTGACGTCTCGTCTGCATCACAATATTATTAATTTACTGAAAAGTTAGTAGACCATATCAAAAATTCATTGATGAAAAATGAAAATTAAAAAAAAAAATCAATTATTTACGACAGATTTTAGCCTTTTAATTACAGCTCCATTACGTTCAGACCAAAGATTAATTTTTTGTAAACATACATGTGTTTTTGTTACTTGTTTTTCTGCTTTGTATCGATCTGATGAGTTAAGCCCTTTTCAATTAATTTTTATAGTATGTTCATATGTTGTGCTGTTACACCACTGTCCCAGGATAGGCGAGGGTTGGGCGCCCGCAAACATGTTTAACCCCGCCACATTTTGTATGTGCCTGTCCCAAATCATATCAGGAGCCTGTAATTAAGTGGATGTCGTTTGTTGCTGAATATCATATTTGTTGTTCGTTCATTGTTTTATACAAAATCAGGCCGTTAGTTTTCTCGTTTGAATTGTTTTACAGTTGTCATTTCGGGGCCTTTTATAGCTGAATATGAAGTATGGGTGTTGCTCATTGTTGAAGTCCGTACAGTGACCTATAGTTGTTAACTTCTATGTCATTTGGTCTCTGGTGGAGAGTTGTCTCATTGGAAATCATACCACATCTTCTTATTTTTATATGTACATGTATTTATCTTGCTTAATTTTTATATTGCAGTTGGACTTATCTTGTTTTTCGCTTTACTGAGAAACAACAACAATGATTAAATACCATAACGACGATATGTTTTGTAAGTACACATTTATTGTTCTATCGTATTGTTCCAATACAAAAGTCTGTATTGTTTCTGTTCGACCGTCGTTTACAAATTAATAACTTTTTTTTAGCATTCCAATCGCCTAGCTCTCACATACAAAGCTGTTATAATCTTGTGATACTACAAGATGTCTTCCTGATAATGCATGCAATATGTGCCGCTGGATCTTATCAATCATGAAATGAATGTCATTTAGAATCCGGATGTTTTCATTGTGTGTTTTTTTTTTTTTTGCGTTTGCGTCAATTGGATGGCACTTTCACAATTTAAATTTATGTGATTTAAATTATCAATAAAAAGAAGGAGACAGATCTATATTTGTATAAATAACCCCTTCTTAATTTAAATTTTTTTTTACAAACTTCCATATAAAAATAAAGGAGATGTGATATGATGCCAATGAAACAACTCTCTAGCAGGGCTCAAAAGACGTGGATGTAAGCAAATTTAGGTCACTTCAAAAATTAGCAAACCCCATGCCGTATAGTCAACTATGAAATGCAAGCATGATTCATTTTTACTATTCTGTCATTCTTCTTATTTCTTTAGTTTAATTTTGCTTAATAATTTCTCTTTTTAGGAAATGTCATATACACCAGCAGTGTGGAATAGACAAGAGAAAGTAGACTTTATTTTAAGTTTAGATATCAGTGTAGACTGAAAGTAAAATGATGTTGGATACCTCGCGAGTACAACAACAATGCGAATATATTAAACTAGGACCTTCAATAACACAAATATAAATGGGCAAGAACTATTTTCTCGTTTCACATGACTATTGACTCTGGAGTATATAATTTTTCGACCAATCTTACAATCGATGCAATTTTGTGAAGTCAGAGTTTAACTGTTATGTGTTTTCTATATACGAAAAAATCATCGGAAAACGGTTTTCTCCATAAAAAATTGGTTGATGATATAAATGCTAAAATTAGGTGATATAAAACTGCAAATATTGTCACAATTGTTTATTTTACAAATAATATTTGTTTAATAAATGACAAAACAGATTTTGAAGTATACACAGGTAAACTCACGTGAAGTTCAACTCAAAAGAGCTTATACGTAAAACTCACGTGAAAATGTTCACATGATTTTCATGTGAACTTGACAAAAAAAGTATGGTATTTTTCATGATTTTTTTTATTAAATTTGAAAATTTTCATGTTATATGAATAACTTTATTTCGAAAATTCATTTGATTATCACGTGAAATTCACATGAGGTTCACGTGAACTCCTTATGAGATTCAAGTGAAACTCACGTGAATTTCACATGAAATTCACATGAATCTTAAGTTCACGTGAAATTCACGTGAGTGAAATTTCCTTGTGTAATGTCTGATTTTTTTTGATATTGTGACAATAACGGTAAAAAACATTGGCGACCTGATTATCTGTAATTGCCATTCTTGTGGTAATTTATCGAAATAATTTTTACAATGTAAAACTTTCCTTTATATGTCAACATTTAATCATTTGTTTTTATTATCTTTATATCAATGCACATGCAAGCAAAAGACTCTTTATTGGTTATTAAAGGTACAACGTGTTTAAAAATATTACTGAAATCCCATTGGCCGATCGGAATGGAATGTTAAACTGAATTACCTTGCAAGGATAGTGCAACTGTATCAGCACAAAAAAGATTTCTTGTATCAATTTTTAGGGATCCGTGTAGCCTGTTGCAAGGCAAATTTTCTGCTTCTATCCAAAATAACATCCTCTTTGAGTGGCTGTTCAAATGTCCTGCTCCTCAACCATATATTTCAACTTTCGGAACCTATCTATTGTATTAATTGTTAATTTGTTCTCGTTCTGAAAATCCATTAAATATTAGCTACTGGGCGATAAACAAACATTAATCAATCATAATCATAATACAGATTACACTTGCAATTGTATTTTCATTCACTTGTTCCAAAAGTAACCTTAATCGAGCTTCCTGTGTGTGTGACGGATATTTGGCTCTATTTCTGCATTTTTGTGGGCCCTATTATTCCCTACAATTTAGTCCCCAACACCCCCAACACCCCCAACACCCCTGTATTCTCTGTTCTGTTTTATGGCCATATTTTTCAAAACAAAAAATACCCGTTATATATATGTTAGCAATCTTTTTTGCCCATTTTTCTTTATTCTTTTTTTTTTGTTTGCATATTATTTTTTATTCTTTATTTTAAAACTCTCCTGGGCATAATTCTTTATTTTTTCCAATTTATCTTCAATGTTTTTGTCTAGTTTTGTGTGCCCTTTATTCTCTATTCTTTATAACTTAGCATACAAATCTTCTTTATTTTCTTTTTTTAGCCCCATTTTTCACTTTTCTATTTTTTGCCAATAGTTCTAGATTCTTTAAAACCCATTCATACCCTTAAATATCACAATGATCATACTTTGAAATTTGATCAGATAATGACTTTCAGCGATATTTTCTAATGCGGAGCTGGATATATTTTTTTTTTCTGCATCATTTTCAGAATTTCAAACACAAAATGAAAATTCTGTGAAATGCCATTATCAGCGCAAAAAAGATGAAATACAACCAAAAACAAGTAATTGGATACTATATCAAATACATTTCACACACACTTTTTTATTTTTAATTCGTAGTTGAAGAATAGTGTTTATTTTGCATTTCGAGTAATTTAATTTGAAATATCTCAATGTATTGTAAAGTAGATATGATCAGAAATTTTGAGTAACCTTAATTACTGGCAAACTCGGAAAAAGTGGTAACATCGTCTCTGCTACGCTACGCAACTTTCAATCAAGAGCCAATGCTCATAAACTCGGTAAACGCAAGACTTCTGATATATGAAAGTTGAGCAAAACAACGTCCCCACTGTTTCGGAGTTTAGATTACTGGAGGAAGTTATTTTGTTTTTACTGTAAATCATGGTGTACATTTGTAGTTAATCTATAAAAAAAACATATTTTCATTATGATAGATGGATATTTGTATTCTTTATCATCTGTTAAAAACTCATTCACTATATTATGATTGTATTGTAAAAATGAATAATGTTCACTTTAACCAATAAACAAAAAACATATTATATAAGACTTATTAGTTTCATACACCAGCACATGAATGTATGCACGAGATACCAATTATCCATAACTCATTTCTGAAACCTGACTCTATAGTTATAGAGTTATAGATAAGATTAATTATCTTGTTTATGAGTAGTAAGTGTTCACGGCCTTGTACACTACGATTGTTTCTCTTTAATTTATGGACAGCTCTTTCTAACCTTGGTCGGTTTTTTTGGTATTTGTTTGTTTTTGTTTGTTTGTTTTTGTTTGTTTGTTTGTTTGTATTTTGTTTGTTTGTTTTTATTAAACTATGAATGCTACATTGGTATATATTTGGATAAATGTTTACTGGTCCTGAAATATTTCTAATTTTGGAACAACTTTATGTTTGGAGTCAATCTTATAGGAAACTCACAGAGGAAAAGAGATCATTCTTTTGTTATGGTTGTGAAGGGGCATATCCTTGCGCTGTTATCCTAACTATTAGGTATAATTTCAGACCCAAAGTTTAACTAGTATGAACAACCGCAAACGTTAAGTTTCGGAATCAAATGCAGCTAAAGAAGTTAAATTAAAAGTATAGACTTTCATAAAAGCTTCCCTTACCTGATTGGTTATTGCTTTACCAACAACTTACATTTCTTAAAGTTTTCTTGAAAAAGTCGATTTAGAACCTAACATATTGTATAGATATTGGTTTATTGTTCAAGACCCTAGGTTTACCTCTGGATGTCTTTTAGGTTTTTGTGTTATTGGGTTGCTGTCTTATTGATGTGTACCCAGCACGTTCTTTTATATATAAATACATGTAATTATTTTTATAGTTTCAGCATAGTATTGTATTGTAAAATAACTTGTCCCTTGGCAACAAACCAGATAATTAAAAGCACAAATTCCGATAGTTATGATTTGAACAGGAATGTGACAAACTGTCAATATGAAAGCAATCTGGCAATTTATTATATCAATATATCACACTGCTATCAAATGTGTCTAAAAAATAAAAAAAAACTGGAAAGTTGATGATACCCTGCAATATATTTTTTTTTTATATAATACGCCTAGGGTAAAAAAGAAAATAAACAGTAATCACAACAACTGTTGAATAAAAAAGGTTAATTCGGAAACCTTACAAATATTTTGAACACAAGATTGCATAAAATAAAACAAAAATGACCAGCTCTTATGACATTATCAATTGACCATTCTTTAATCAGAAAATAACAGGGCTCCTGCAAATGCTGAATGTCCGTAATTTGTCGAACTCAAGAGACCTCGACTGTCCTTCAGGATCTGGATGTACACTCTATCTCCTTGATTTAAGGGACAGTATCGCTGTTCTTGATGAAGAAGCTATTGAAATAGAGTGACTGCTTCCATCTACATGAATACTAGTCTGTCTTTGGCAATTAACCACTAAAGTTCTAAAAAATGTCCGCGGCTTAATTTTTAAGCGTTTTTATTTTTAATTCATAGAAATTTACGTTTCATAAATAAATATATAGAGAATATGATATGGATTTTTCAATATCACATTTTATAAACCCAGTCACCAATGTAATCCCGAGAGCTCTGCTCGAGGGTTTATATTGATAGAGGATTGATACGGTGTGCGGGTTTATTCCTTGAATGCCAACATCCTTTGATCTACCGACAATTTACCTGTAAAATTATGTTGGCGTTCGAGGAATAGGTGTAAGTAGTTATCACAACAAAAGTTCATGCTTATCAAAACAATCATACTAATAATTAAACAGATATGTAAATTGCAGGTAGTTAAATATAATTCATGTTTGTCAAGTTATTGAAAATCATTTTTTGCTGTTACTGCTTGAACAAATATGAATTCTCTTAAAATGAAACTTTGAAAAGTGTTGCATCACAAAGTCAACATGTGCATATTGTCAGGGATTCCAGTTTTCACAAATTCTACAAAAGCCTCTTTGGACTTTGAAGCTTTTTTTCGATATTTCTATAGTTGTGTGTGCTGCATGTAATATCCTCCCATATTACATGATGGAATTTCTTGAAACTTTGTATCTCATGTTAGATTACTATGTTTTATTTTATACAGTTTGTTCAGGATAATTTTTCTTCGTTATGATATCACATCTATTTTTATTGTAAGTGATTCATAAAATAATATTGTTTAGGTGTTTATTATGTTCGCAACTCATCGGAAAACTTGTTACCCTATTTTATGGATTTTCTTGAAACTTTGTAGGGTTTCCAGATTGGAAGTTATCAAATTTACTTAATTATTTCTGATGCATGGTTTTTTAATGTTTAATTAATTGTTCAATTGAAATCTTCATATAGTTCATATTAACTATATAATATTTAAAATGATATGGAATTTAATAAATCTCTAATGTCTTTTTTTCAATTTGAAATAATTGTATTTAATTAAGATGTCTTTAATATTTCTAATATGTCTGATGTTTATAAACATTTCATTTCCAAATATATCTTTTTATTTAATAAAAAGTAATAAAAATGTTTTAATTTTCTTTATTTCTTTAAAATTCATAATGATTTTAACCCTAAAGTCTTCTATTTTTTCTTAGCAAAAAGTGATAAAATGTTGCATTTCTATCAAGTTCACTAATCATTTTTAACAGTTAAATACTTATAAAAACACCTATTGTTATTATATAAACATCTATTGAATTATTTTTGTTGGCATTCAAGGAATAGGTAACATATAAAATGTTGGCATTCGAGGAAGACACCGGTGTGCGGTGCTTTGCTTTTGCGCCAATTGGCATTTCATTTGCGCCAAAATAAAACATTTCATTTGCGCCAATAATACAGGTAAATACAGGTAAATAGAAATTAATAAAAAATAGTTTTAAAAGAGACTTTTAATAATAACTTTAAAAAAAATGATAAAACATATTCCTCCGAAATCAGTCATCGTAACCATAATGAAAGCACTGTACATGTACATATACGTTCTAAATAAGAGACCTTTCTTCATAATGTTAAAACACAGTTCTGATATAAATTAACGAGATCATAAAAACTAAAAGAAAGCATTAATATACACTGGAGTAAAAACAACGGTTTGTTCTGACACAAGACTTGTAAGCAACGGCTCGGACGTACTCATTTACACTGTATAACCAATATGTGTGGTCATAAAAAAATACAGACTTATTTCCTCTTTATACAAGTAAGAATGTGGTATAATTGCAAATGAGACAAATATCCACCAAAGTTCAAATGAAGTGGATGAAAGCCATCATAGAAAACCGTACGTCCTTCAAAAACCCATTCCGTATAGTCGGCTATAAACGACTCCAACATGAAAAATATTAAACAATCCAATTCTGAGAAAACTTACGGACACTAACTCAGAATTGACAATGTCCATCTTGACACCTCAAACATGTGAACACTATATAATTTTAAACATAAGTGGCTCTCAGTTTTATAATAAAAGATAAATATGAACTTATTTAGTTACCCAGGGGGAATACTTAAAAAAAATTCTTATTCACTATGTGGCAATGAATATTTTAAACTTTCCCGTTATATGTTACACCTGTAAAATGGCGCAAATGTAGTTTTTATTTTTTGGCGCAAATGAAATATAACCTTGTGGCGCAAATGAAAGATTGGATTTTGTGAAAATTGGCGCAAATGCAATGCGCCCACGGTGTGTGATATTGAAAAAAGCCATTTTATATATATACTTTAAGCCGGAGTCACACATTCACGATTTTTACTGCCTTCCTTGACAGGACCATTCCCGATTAAAATTTGTCAAAAGTCTGATCAAGATCCTGTTAATCGTGGCTGGAAATTAAAACTTTAATTAGAATTTGTAAAAAACATTTATTTAATCACGACAACAATCAGATATTGTTCAGGAAGCGTCCAAATTCAGCCGTTTCCAGCCGAATTTGTCGCGATTATACGGTTCTCAATCCGATATTAATCCGATTTGTATCTCTCACATGGTAAAACAACGACCGAATCTGTCCCGACAGCGTTCCGATTATACCGAATGTGATCCGACAGAGATCAGACAGAGACCAGACAGTGAACCGACGCTGACGGAAGATATCCGTCAGAAAACTGTCGCCATATTCGGGATGATCAGGTACTGTCGGAACGCAATCCTATCACAGTCTGCTATACCGCATTGCAAACGACTTGGTCTGGACTCAGTCGTATTGTGTTCTGTAATTGTCGAGACTCTGACGTGGGTATTATTGCCGAATTTCGTATTAATAACGGGACTGTTCCGGAACGGTTTCGGCAAAGACGGTTCGCTTTCGGCAAGATCAGGTTGCAATCTGGACTCAATCGGCAAAAAAACAGCAATGACAAATTTCTCCAGATCATGCCCATTCCACAGGACACCGTCCAGAAAACACAGAACATTGTTACGATTTTGATCAGATACAGCAGAATCTGTCACGACATAGTCACGATTGTAATCCGACTAGACAAAATCGGTTGAGTCTCCCCGAATGTTACGGGACGCACCAAACTGTCGGGGTGCTTGGCCGACCTCTCCGGACCATTCCCGATCCGTAGGAATCTGTAACAAACGTATACGACTGCGTTCAGACAATGATAGGACATTCCAGTTCATTGAGGATAGTAATCCGACTTTTTCACTTTTCGTGTCTTATCGTTGTCTGATCTCAAACGGGAGCCATAATCGGCACTGTGTGAACGCCGCATTAAGCAATAGTTTTACTGTTGGTGTTCGATAAAGCCAGTGACACTGAGACTGATATCAATACATTGTATCAAAGTATAGAAATAACCGGCACATAATTTGCATGCAGACCGACATTTATTACAAAACAAAATAATGCGTACACGATGTGATATAAATATTGTTGGAGTGTATTACCTTCCTATTTTAGTATGTTATTGGTATCAAAATTTTAGAAAACAATATACATGATATACTAGTATCTAAAAATTAAATTTTTATCAGTTTTATAAAAAGGAAAACGAGAAAATTATCAAATTACTGAATATCTACAAACGTTCAAATCATAAAATTGTGTACTACATTTTACATCAAGCATACAAGAATCTTATTTAGTGTTATGTACTATCCTCGTGTATTGTGTTTTCGACCTACTTACAATTTATCAATATTTCCCCTTTAATATGTTTGAACATATACATGCCTAATATTTTTTAAAGTCACTAGTATACTTGTACATTAAATAATTGTATCTAAAATATATTTCGATCTTAAATATTTTTTTTATTTCAGTTCATTAGATCGATGGCACCTTTGTTGACAAAAACTAGCGTCTTGTGTTTTCGACATATCTAAGAAACGGGTCCAAAGTCGGAAATGACATGTCGTATAAATCCGGAATTGGTTATAATTTGATGCCAATGTTTATATCAAATTATTCAAAGTTTTAGAGGCGATCAAACTTATGATTTAATGAATTAAATGGTGACATATACAACTATAAGATATAAAATATTATTTTGATATCTTTATTTGACTAGTTGTACACATTTCACATGAGGACCTTGTATACAGTCATGTTTCTGTTCAATATACTTCAGTGAAGGCATTATAAAGTGAGGTTGGTGAGTATTGTCTGTAATCTCCCCTGACAGACTGCTGTTTCTGTGAATTAAAATTAATTGATATTTTATTTTTTTCAGCAAAAAACTGTAAGAATCATCCACATTTCCGTATTAAAAATCATATGGCAAAATTTGGGATAATTTGCTAATTTGCATAGCGGCCATTTTGCCTTATCATGATGGCAGCCATTGCAATAGGATTATATAAGCCCCTTAAATAAAAATGCCAATATGCCAATACCTATCTCGAATGAACAATTTGTTCGCATATAGGTGAATTGTACATGTTTTTAGGCTTCTGTCCGTGTACAAATGGACATTGTCTACTCTGAAATCTTTCGGCCTTTTTAGTTTAAAAATCGGAAGCGAAGTCATAGTATAATTGCTATATAAGATCATATAAAATGACGGAAAATCGTAAAATAGCAAGATTCAAAACAGAAATACATATGCAAGAAGATATTGTTCATGATTTGTTCGCATATAGGGAAACACCTTGTAGGTTGAATTTTAAAGTAAAATAACATTTAACTTACCTGCTTTCTTAAGTTTTCGGCCAAATTCTTTTAAAAAAATGATGATTTCAACCTTCCCATTTCGTAAAAAGTCAAATTTTAAGCATTTTCCCTTAGAATTACACAGCATTTTTTGTAAATATCCGCCAAAGGAAGTTTTTAAAGATACATTAGTTTAAGATACATGACGGAAAAGGACGTGATTATCCGCAAATCTAAAATAAATTATATTTTCAATCTTAAGCTAAGGGAGGTAATTTGATCAAAAGGGACAAAGTCACGTGGTGCAAATCATTTGAATAAAGTACCTTTGATTTTGCCATATGTAACTTTTAAGTATATCACCTAACCACATGACAGTCATGTGACGTAATGACCTTGATGTTAACTTCACATGCTAAAAGTCCTCGGCCATATTTCTAGAATATTTGTTTATTTTTGATAGATTCTTGTGGAAGGTAAAAAAAGTATTAGTGAAAAGGTACAAAAATGTGATATCAAATAAAATAACGTAAATACTTAATTATAATAACTTTACTTGAAACATCTTCACCACACGTGGTATTATTTGCTATTGTTACTAAATATAGCAGCCAAATGTGACGTCACACGGGCATGCGCAGCATACGGGAAGTGAAAGTAGAATTAGGTCGAAAACGTAAGACGGTCGAAAACACAATACGAGACGATATGAAATATATCTATTGATAATTCACTGATAAACAGAAATAGTACATGTATAAGATCATAATTATACTTTTAAAGCTCTAGAAACAATATCCCAATATACCTGGCTGATTGCAAAAAGTCAGACAGGAGTTAAAGTAAAATTCTAATATGACGCTCTTCAAACGCTTTTGAGTACACAGCCGTGGTAAAATATATATTGATATGTCAGCTGATCGTCAACGTCATGGATTGTTTGGGCTGTTCCAATCCTTCTACGACGTTCAGTACTGGTTGTTTGCTTTTTATGAATGAGTTACCCGAGGTCAGACGGTGTAAATGACGTCATTGAACGATGACGTAAGAACAGAAGCATTCTACGGGAAAATGCACGAATGTGAAGATAAAAGTCGTCAAAACCGGAAAACATAATCAAATGATGATAGGAATTTGTTGAAAGCTCATTTTCTTAAATAAAAATAAGATAGCCAATTATATTAAGCCAAGCCTGTCTTAGTATGCTATTGTAAATCGTTTATGCATGTCACTAATTCAATTTTCTTCGTCTTTTACGTCAATATTAATGGCGTGTTAAACATTTCCCTTCACGTAGAGCGCTTCAAACCAAAAGAATTGCTGTCTTTGTCCTATATGAATAGAAATAATTCATGGGGGTTTGCATTTATATTGATAATACATCGGGTTGGTCCTTTATGCTGCTATCGCTCGAGGTAAAATATTTAGCATAAAGGGCCAACCCGTGGTAAAATCACGATAAATTCAAGCCCCATGAATTATATCTCAATTATATGTAAACTGCTTTATATTATAACTCACATATTTCAGACATTAGAAAATTAGCTAACCGTCTATGTTTTTCGTTTCATGAACTTACATGTTTTTTCTGCGTAATAGGAAGTCATGTTTGATATAAAATGGTTGTCAGCTCGTCGGAAAGATTACTTCTAGTTTTAAACAGAACAAGCAGTCATTAACAGGTAATATGAAATCTTTTTCATTTCTTCTCTTTTTTATTGAAAATTTTGCAAATAATTTTGAAATTGCAAAAGATAGTATTCGCTTAATAAAACAGGCTGTTTCCCCCTATATAGGTTTGAACGTTGTTTTCAATTAAGACTTGTTTATATTTTGTCGTTTGGGCTTGTGTTATATTTGCCTTCGGGTTTTTATGATCCGTTCATCCTATTTCGACTCTTCAAAATTCAAGAGTCTATCCTAAATTGAGGTAAATTATATGGCCTTCCAAATACCGTTTCGATTCCTAACATCACTGAAGAGACATTAATTGTCGAAATCCGGATATGGTGTACTAATTTTTGCACCTTTTGTTTGCGGTATACCATCTTTTCCGCAAGTTTATTGTTTTCTGTTTGGTATTAAATTAATAGTTAAGATCATTTTTGTTACATCTGGTGATCCGTGTTTTTGACAATCGCCAATGGCAGTCAGCAGGGTTTTGCATGCACACGTATAAAAATTGCGGTTTTTATCCAACGCAATCATAGGTTTGAACGTTGTTTTCAATTTAGACTTGTATATATACAAGTCTAAATTGAAAACAACGTTCTATACAAGTCTAAATTGAAAACAACGTTCAAACCTATGATTGCGTTGGATAAAAACCACAATTTTTATACGTGTGCATGCAAAATAAATTTCTTGGTAAAGGGGTCTAAATACAGCACAAACAACATTTTCCAAAAGACCAAAAAAGTGACAAAGTATATTTTAACAAAACGCATTTGACTAGCAGGTCGAACAACGGATGTTCTTAAACCCTGCTGACTGTCACTGGCGATTGCCAAAAAAAATGATCACCAGATGTAACAAAATGGATCTTAAATATTAATTTAATATCAAACAGAAAACAATAAACTTGCGGAAAAGATTGTATACCGCAAACAAAAGGTGTATATATGACATATATTCGTTTCTGGTAGTTAAATTTCATTTTTGGAAGTTCTCAATACAATGATAATATCATTCAAAACAATAATGTATTAAAGTAAAGAGTAAAATAACAAAAATAAAGAACTCTCAGGAAAATTCAATACGGAAAGTCCTTATCATTTCTATGCTTACCTGACATACTTGTTTTCAGGAAACCAATTTTTAGAAATTTTAGAATTTCAGATAACATATTCTCTTAATTAGAATAAACTAAGTTCTACAAGATCTATCACAGTATAATATAAAAAAAAGGTATGTCTACCAAGTATTTCCACTTTGAAATAGACATGGAATTGAGTTTATAAAATTCTAAAGAAACATATTTTGATCTTGAAATGTTGAGATCAAATTATTGCAAAAATGGCGGTTTCTTTTTTCTATTTTAAAAGTATATTGCAATTGTTTGTCTGTGAGATTGTCTACAGCTATTTCATTGTAATCATCAGTACAAAATATAATTGCAGCTTTATTGAAATATCTTAACTTATCATATCCAAAAACATACCCATTTTAGCCCCTGTAACGGTTTTTCTTAGAACAAATACCTCTCATGTCACGGACATTTTAGTGTAACCATGAAGGTTATATTATTATAACCTCCTTTGTATTAACTAACGATTAATTTAAATCGGAATGTTTTTGTGAAAAGAGCCAAGCACTGGTTCCATATATATTTTTTTTCTTCTTATCTTTTCATAATCAAGTGTGAAAAACTATAAAAAAAAATATCAAAATAACACTTTATAAATTTGTTTCGTTCGAAACGCCTTTTTTGGATTAGCCTTCATCTGGAACCCTTATACCCCCCAATAAATAAATGCCAATAAACACATGAAAGGCTATATGTTTTAAGTTACATTTATTCTTTATGCATCAAATTTTCAAAGATAGTTCAAGAAAAGTGCATAACTGTTTATCGAATAGCTGCATAAATCTTAACTTATTGAAAGAGGTATTTTCCCGAGCATTATCTGACAAAATACTCACATAAATTCAAGTACGTTGGAAAAGCATTTAAATGAAAATCAACAGACACGTGCCTCCATTAAACGCCATGATGACTGTTATCTTTTAAGTTAACATTAAGATTGTTACATCACACCGTATTACCGGATATTGATATACTGCAGATGCAATAACCAACACGGTTCAAAATATGCTCTTCACGATTGTAAAATCCATTGTATTGTAATAGCAATCGGATTGCTAGACAAAAATCTGCTGTACAAGACAGTAAAAACATTTCGGGAACACAGATCATGATGTGTCTGCCGTAAGTATTTCCAGGTTATATGTTGTATACATTACTTGATTGAATTTACATTACAGTAAAACGTTATCATTACATTCTTCAGATTTATTTTTGTTTTTAGAATGAAATTCGCCGTTGCTACAGTCGTTATCTTGGTCTGCCTTTGTGGCATGAAGGGCATTCATGCTGATGATTATTATGACGGAAGTTACGGAGAAGTAGGATACGGTTCTAGCTACGAAAAAGGCGGATATGGCGGCAGTTTGGGTGGATATGGCGGTAGTATTGGCGGATATGGTGGCAGTATGGGTGGATATGGCTCAAGTTATGGCGGATATGGTGGCAGTATGGATGGATATGGCGGGTATTCTGGATATGGAAAGGGACATGGTGGTTATTCTAGTTACGACAAGAAAACAGTCCACGGATACGGCAAACAGGGAGGTTTCGTCGATGAAACAATCCACCTTCTACAACACCCAGTACCAATGCCGGTCGCAGGTCCATATGCAGGAGGTATTTCATACAGTGGTGATGATGGCGGTATACTCAGTGGTATGTTCGGTGCTAGTGAAACAACAATGTTCTGTAAGTTTATTCTATAATTATAATGATATGATGCGTGTTGCTGTAAGTAAACAACTGAGAAGCACCTCTGTGTTTCAAATAAGAAGTGTTACATTAAAGAATATTGCCATTGGACTAAAATAGAAACACTTTTTAAAAAATATCACCGACTCTTTTTTTTCCGTTTTCTTTTTGTTTTTAAAGTTGCCTTGATATGTACTTAATATAACCAAATACTACATTGGTTATTTTGCCATGCAGCTATTAATACCAGGCAATCTTGACTTATACATATCTTTTCATTTTCTTGCGATTTTTTTTTTAAATAAAGGATTTGTGTGACGTCACGTCTATACATCACAATATTCATACTTTACTGAAAATAAGTAGACCATATAAAACATTTATAGATGATAATAAAAATTAAAAAATGTTTCAATTATTTACGACAGATTTTAGCCTTTATAGCTCGTTTAAGTTCTTTTCAGAGTTGATTTTTTGTAAATGTACATGTGTTTATCTTGTTTATTTTTATATTGCAGTTGGAGTTATCTTATTGTTTGCTTTACTGAGAAACAACAACAATGATTAAATACCATAACGACGATATATGTAATTGTAAGTACACATTTATTCTACTATCGCATTGTTCTAATATAAAAGTCACAATTGTTTCTGTTTGACCGACGTTTACAAGTTAAATAACGGTTTTTCGAGAGTTCCAAGCGTCTCGATCTATATAAAAAGCTTTTATAATCCTGATTATAAATGTAATATTTGTCGCTGGATGTTTTATTTGTATTTTTACGCGTATATTTCAAATCGGATATCGCTTTCTAAGTTTTTAGTTTATATGATTTAAATTAACATATATAAATAAATAAAAAGAGGGAGTCAGCTCTAGCTGTTGTACTGTAGTATTAAATAAATGACTTCATATTTTAAATAAACTTGTTACTATACAAACTTATTTTTTCACTTTTGTCATAATGTTCGTATTTTCATACCAAGTTTAATTTTGCATTATACTTTCTCTAATTTCAGGAAATGTCATATATACCAGCAGTGTGTAAAAAGACTGAAGAAAAGACTTGTTTTAAGATTAGATATCAGTGTAAACTGAAAATCAAATGAGGCTCGCTACTTCGCGAGTAGAACAATAATGGAAATATGTCAAAAACTCGAATGTGAATTGTCTGGAATACGATAAACTACGATCTTCAATAACGATAATATAAATTGTCATGAATATGTCAAACTAAGGTCTTCAATAATGCAAATATAGTTTTTTCGTGAATATGTCAAACTATTTATATGATTTTCAATAACAATTCATAAAACCGTCAACAAAATAGATCGTCGAAAAGTCGACTAGAAAGGGCAACAGGCAAAAAGGTATCCGCGAAAATAAGTTGGTTTACAATATTGTTGAACTTCTTTATTTTATTGATATAGAAACAAAATCCAAACTATCAACGAATAAAAATTGTTTTTTTCTCTATTTACTTTATGTTTTAGCGTAATTCATAGTATTCAACACATAACTAAAAACTCATGAAATTGTTTACCTTTGAAACCCTTTTACTTAATTCCAAGTTAAACTAATTTTTATCCTTCTAAGGTAAACAAAAAACTTTTAGATTGGTTGACGATATTAATTAAGTAATATTAGACTTGAAAAATTGTCACATTCATTTATTTGACAAATACTTTTTCTCCAATGACGAAACAGATTTTGAATTATAATGTCTGATTTTGTTTTTAAACGTGGCTATAACTGTGAACATTATTGGCGGCCTGATCATCTGTAAATAGCATTCTTGAGGTAATCTCAACAAATTTTATAGCAAACTTTTCAATAATAGTAAAACACTAAATCAGGATTGTTTAATTATGTTTATATCAATGCACATGCAAGTGAAAGGTCTATTTTTTTCATAATGGTACAATGCGTTTAAAAATACCACTGAAAGTTCATTATCCAATCCGAATTGGGATACTAAGTTAATTTATGAACATGATATTACTTTGAGAACAAAAAACCCAAGATAATTTAAAAAGTTTTGAATTCTTTCATTTTTTAGGCATTTTTCTCTATTTTTTCTTCTTTTTTTGGGGACCCATTATTCTTTATATTTTTGTCACCTTCCCTTATTATACCCTACGCAAATTTTTTGCGAAGGGTATAATGTTTTTGACCCGTCCGTCCGTCTGTCCGTCCGTCAGTCCGTCAGTCCTGTTTCTTGTCATCGCAACTCCTCTCAAACCACACAACAGAATTTCATGAAACCTTTTCAGATAATAAGGACATACTATGTAGATGTGCATATCGACAGGAATTTACGAATCAATTTTTTTCCGAGGAGTTACGCCCCTTTGAACTTATTTGCCCAATATACTACTGCAACTTTTTGTCATCGCAACTCCTCTCAAACCACACAACAGAATTTCATGAAACCTTTTCAGATAATAAGGACATACTATGTAGATGTGCATATTGACAGGAAATTACGATTCAATTTTTTTTCTAGGAGTTACGCCCCTTTGAACTTATTTGCTTCAATGTACTACTGCAACAGTTTGTCATCGCAACTCCTCTGAAACCACACCACAGAATTTCATGAAACTTTGTAGGTAATAAGGACATACTATGTAGATGTGCATATCGACAGGAAATTACGATTCAATTTTTTTTCTAGGAGTTGCGCCCCTTTGAACTTATTTGCTTTAATGTACTACTGCAACAGTTTGTCATCGCAACTCCTCTGAAACCACACAACAGAATTTCATGAAACTTTGTAGATAATAAGGACATACTATGTTGATGTGCATATTGATAGGAAATTATGATTCAATTTTTTGTTCTTACACTTATTTTATTTCTCCAATGACAATGTGGGGACGTGGGGTATGTGAGCGCGCTCACTAAGGTTCTTTAATTCTCCGTTCTTTTTGATGTGCATTTATCCCATATATTTCTTTACCCATTATTCTCTATTCTCTTTATTTTGGCTATTTTCTTTATCTAAACTTTCTTTATGTTTATGTCTCTATTCTTGATATTAAAACACATGATCACTCTTTATTTTTTCCCAATTTATTTCCAATGTTGATTTTTTGTTTTTTTATGCTCTTTATTCTCTATTTTTTTGTTATCTTAGCACACAAATGTTTCTCTTTTCTCTATTTCTAACCCCATTTATTACTATTCTATATTTTTGCCAATTATATTCATTTTTTTTTAACCCTATCCAGACTCTCATAATATATGATATTGATCATACTATGAAATTTGATTAGATAATGGCTTTCAACGGTATTTTCAAATGCCATTTTCAGAGTTTCTATAAAACGTTATTTACAGCGCAAACAAGATGAATAACAAACCAAAAATATAATTGAATGTTCTGTCAAGTATAATTATTATCACATACGTTTTAGATTTTGAATTCGTGGTTGAAGAAAAATGTGCATTCTGTATTTCGAGTGAAATAATCTGAAATATCTCAATGTATTGTAAAGCAGCTGATCAGAAATTTTGAGTAAACATGATTACTGGCAGACTCCAAAACAGTGGTTAAGTCGTCTCTGCTACGATACGCTGACTTGTGAAAGTTTAGCAAATCGACGTCACCACTGTTTCGGAGTTTGGTTGATTTTTTTTGTTTTTACTGTAAATCATGATGTACATTTGTAGTATAACAAAAACATATTTTCATTATCAAAAATGGATATTTGTATGTTTTATCATCTATTAGATATTCATTGAAGATAATATGATTGCATTGTAGAAATAATTAACCTTCACTTTTACCAATAAACAGAAAAAAAATAGCACTTGTTTCAGTTACCAGAATATGGGAATAACCATTGCCAAAACTCACTTCCAGAACCTGAATCATCTCCATAGTTATTATTAAGATTAATTGTCCTGCGATGAGCAGTAATGGTTCACAGCATTGAATCTCTGGTTGTCTTTATAAAATCTATGCACACCTATTTCTAGCTTTGGTTTGTTAATCGTTTCATGTCATATCGAATGGGGATCACTGGGCGTGTGTTTTTGGTAAATCAAATTGGGTTTTATTATTATCAAACTGTGAACGTTAGTATGTATTTGCATTGCACTTTTAGGGGCCTGGATGGCCGAGTAGTTTAAGTAGTCGAACTACTGTATCACTAGCCAGTGAACACTGAGGGTTGTGAATTCGAATCCCGGACGTACCAGATGAGCTCGACTACAATCCTAATTGACTAGGATTGTCCATTTTCCGAACGAAGGTCGGTGGTTCTCTCCGGGCACTCCGGCTTCCTCCGCCACCTTCACGAAATAGCACAATAGTGTTGAAAGTGGCGTTAAACACCAATCAATCAATCAATCACTCACTCAATCAATCATTGCACTTCATTGGTATAGAAATGTTCTTTTTTAGCCTTTTATTCCGTGGTAGTCGTTAGTTATTTCATGATGTTAATTTTTCTTTTGTCATAAATTTGTTTCACATTTGCCATGGCGGGTTCTATTATAACTGATAATGTGGTATGGGAATTGCTCATCGTTGAAGGCCGTACAGTGACATATATATAGTTCTTTACAGTCATATTATTTGGATTTTGATGGACAGTTGTTTCATTGGCAATTATATATCTCCTTGTTTTTATACATATCAAATATTCGTGTTGATATTTAAAACGATAATTATTATTCAAACAGCAATAAAGAAGCTCAAAATAAAAAATTGACCAAGACCTCATTTTGTGCATGCATACAGAACTAATTATGTCTAGTACCATGAAAACCCAGTGGTCATGAGTTCAAAAGGGAATTTTGATTTGCTGTCTTTATGGCAGCAATCTGACAATTTGTTTATCAATTCATGACAAAATATTCTACAAGTACATGAAGAAGAAGAAGGAACAGCACTTTCGATTGCACAATTGGTATTTTTTTTTTCTATTTTTTGCTCAATTGCCCGAAAGGGCCAAGTGAAATTTCTTACCACTTGGCGTCCGTCGTCTGTTGTCGTCGTGGTCCGCCGTCGTCGTCCGATAACTTTTACAAAAATCTTCTCTGAAATTTGGCCGACAAACCAAAAAAAGAACATAGGTGGTAAAGTGCAAGATTTTCTACAATCTTAAAAACCGCTATAGATAGTAAGAGAAAATGATGACTGTTTTATAAACTTTTGTGTTATTGCCTATTATTTTGAATATAATAATGAAAAGGCAAATATAATCAGCAGGGCAAGATCTGCAAATAGGTCAGCATATATGAGTTGTCAGTAGTCTTCTTATAGGAGACATTTCCCTTAAATGGCAATATTTACCTTTTTGTGTTTTTGGCAAAAACTATAGAAGATAGAGAAAAATTAAACAGAAAAAAAATGATCAGCAATACAAGATCAACAACAACGATCGTAGTGATGAATTATATTCTAGTCTTCAATGTTTGAGAGTGTCCATTGTTGAAGATGCATATATAGACTTAGGTGAACGACACAAGCTCTTTAGAGCCTCTGTTTATTGCTGTTTTTGTTTTCAAAGTCACAGTAAGCTTCTAAAATAGGACAATAAAACAATGAACTCATTTTCAGCATTATTTAATTAGTAAATAACAGGGCTCCCGCAAATGCTGAATGTCCGTAATTTGTGGAGCTCAACAGACCTCGGCTGTTCTTCAGAATTTGGACGTACACTCTATCTCCTTAATTTAGGGACAATATAGATGTTCTTGACGAAGAAGCTATCAAAATAATTTGAAGACTGCCATCTACATGGATAATTGTCTTTCTTTGTCCATTAACCATTAACGTTCCAAAAATGTCACCGGCTCCGCCAGCGTGAATCGTATATGTAAACAAATAGACCCCTGGAACTGGAGCAATAAATGCTCCAACGTCTTTCGCGTATGCATTTCCAATATTGGTCAGGATACTATCAAACACGATGGTTGTATCAACAATGGATGAATGGTCAAGGTTGTGAGTCAAGATGGCATCGAAAGCTACCTTAACAGATGATTCGTCTCCATTAGCAAGAAGTAGCCCTAAAATATAAAACAAATGATTTTCAAGACAAATAAAATAATAGTGTTTAAATGTTTTTTGCTGATGCACATATTTTATCTGTCCTAGGGCAATAACTCCAAAATGTTTATTTTTTGTTCTTTTATAACTTTTTCATAAATATCCAAAAATAAATGTAGACGTGAGTTTCCTTAGAACGCAATTTCCATAAAATCCTATATCAAAGAGGCATAGCTCCTGCAAAAAAAAGGTCATGCATGCCAACACTTTGCTGATTTAAACTTTTGTTATGAATTTCATACTACTCATACAAAAAAAAAGACAATAAATGTAGGCGTGAGCGTGCTGACAATGCAATTGTCAATATAGATTTCATTTCAAAATGACTTAATTCATGTACAAAAAAGTTGATCGGCACTGATTTTCGTATTTTGGAAGTCAAGGTGACCATATTATATCACATTCCGCTTTTACTGCATAATTAACTATATGCTGGAATAGAATGATAGAAATTGATTGGTGGTGATCTTACACATGTGCCTAACTTACTTTTATCTATTTTATATTTGAATTTCTTCTTCTGCAATATTTGAGGTGAAAACAATATCCTTAGAGAACAATTGAACGTCTTTCCACCCCTAACGCCCATCTTTTAATTCGAAATTTTTAACTTCGTGTTTTAAATATTAGTTTTGGGTGTCAGAGTATAATTTATCCTTCGTCGATTTTTAAATTACATAGTTTATGGTACTTTATTTATGAAATAAGGGACATGATTTGTCACTTCTGGTGTCAAATGATAGCTTTCTGAACAGTCATTCCAAAGATGTAAGGTTT